TTGTGAGAAATGGCACCTTGGATTAGAAACCAGCCGAGGAGGGGCCACGCAGCTCACTGCGATCCAGCAAAAGGTTTTTACAGTGATCCCACCCCAATTACAGGTTGTTGGGATTTTTTTTTTTTTTTTTTTTTTTTTTTTTTTTTCAGTTTGGAGAACCGTTGTTTTTCAGCACCCGCTTTGTCCCTCCTTTTCCCTGCTGCCACGGTGGTTTGGAGAGATCAGAGCAAGGAAAGGGCTTCAGCTCCTGCAATTCCCCCAGTTCCTTTCACTGAAGTAGCACGAACAAAACGTGCCGTGTCTGGTTTATCGTTGCTTATCTTACAGATAAGCAGCGGATAAGTAGATTTATTTTTATGGCTTTGGATTAGAATTGGTGTGTCACTTGGAGGGCAGGGAGAGGTTGGCATTTCATGATCCTGACGGTCTCACACCACGTCTCTTCCCTCCCCATCCTTTTTTATCCCTCTTCCAGGTGACTGGGAAGCAAAAGATTTCCGTACCCTCCCTCATATTCTTACAGTGTGTTTCTCGGTCTCGCCTATTCCACGGGCTATAATCAAAGTTTTATTTGCATTGCCTGAGGGGTATGTGCAGAGCATATAAAATAGACATTCAGGAGACACATGGCTGGTCTCGACGGGAGGAGCTGAGGCAGATGGGCAGCTATATTCATGATAAAAACGTCACATATCTGCCCTGAAAACTACTGGAGTCTTATTGTTTAGGATTTAAAGTCCCTGAAAGGCAAGTGCAAATGCATGGTCTGTAAATGAGAAAGAAGCTGCATGCAGTGTGACTCACTCGTGGAGTGTAAATATAAATCTGTATTTTTTTCATCCCGCTTTTTGCACTGTTGTGAATAATTCTCCTTCCTGGTAGAGATTATGGAAGCTTGAAAATAACGAGTTCTTGCTTAATCGTGTGAATTCCAGCTTGAGAACTGTAGAAGAAAGACGGGAAGGGGGTTTTTGAGTCATTTTTTGTTTCGTTTTTAATCAGTTAAGGCAAGTAAGTGCTGAATTTCTTGACCTGCAGTGGCTCTGAATGCATTTCTGCTCTAAGGGGATGCTGGAGCTCTACCCGCCAGCGGTCAGGCCCCGCAGGGCTGCTCACGTCCACCATCGCTTTGGGAAAGGGGATCCAGCCTTGCCAAAAAAAAAAAAAAAAGATTGTGTGGGTTGATGTAACGCACCTCCCATCCGCCCTGGAGCCACCGGTAAGGCAGGACTGCTCCGAGCTGTTCCTCCCCTGCCCGTTCAATAACCCAGCGCTGCTAAAACCACTGGCAAGGAGGCAGCAGTTCCCTGTGCAGCCACCACGTGCACCCTCCCGGGCCCAAGAACCGCCCGTGGCTTTGCCCTGCGGGGCTGGTCCCAGCAAGCCCGACCGGGTAACGCAGGGCTCACGCTGTGCAAATAGTAAATTTTCCCCAGCTCTATGTTTGACCCTTCCGAAACACAGACCGGGCGAGCCGCCTCCATCCGAGCACCCGGGATATTCCCATCCTCGTTGAGGTTACTGGGGATCTTTTTTCCCCCCGCCCCGCAGCTTCGCAGCGGCCCCGGCCGGCGCAGCCCGCCTCCTCCTCCCGCAGACCGTCGCGAGCGCTGCGCATCCTTCGCCTGTGAAGCTTTGTGCACTCCCAGTCACTACCTCATCGTTTGCCGGTCGATTTGCACACCTCTCAGTCTCTCTCTACAAATTAAGACTTGATTACATTTGGGTCTTTTCTTTCTCTTATTAATTTGGTTTCCAGAGATGAGATTAGACTAATTTCCTAAATTTCCTATTGCGTACGCTTCTGTTTAATAGCTGTCACAAGCCCTACCCGTGCGGGAATTAATGTAGCTTTTAGCCCTCTGGGGTTTCATGCTTTTAGGCCAAACGCTGAGAGGACAGTGTTGGTCCCTCCAAAGAGAATGAGGACGTCTCCATTTCTGAGATCATCCCATCCAAAACGGGCTGCGGGAGACGGTCAGTGAAAGTGTCGGGATAAATATCTGCAAAGAAAAGGGGCTGATCTTTTCGTGGAGAGAAGGGACCCCTCTGGGATTGGGAAGCCAGCGCGGAGGTGTTGGCGTTGGCAGGGGGGGGCTGAGCTGAAGCTGAACTTGAGCGAGATGAAAAGGGTCTGCAGAGGTGCCTGCGATTACAGAAGCAACGGGGAAAACTAGGAGAGGAAGCGAGTCGAGAAGAAGAGCTGAGCTGGCTGTGCTGGAGGCGGCGAGAGGAGCTCGCTGGCTGCGCCGCCGCTGGAAAACGCCGTCACGGTCGCAGCAGACACCGTTGGGGTGGCGAGCCCGGGGCAGAGGCTGCCGTGGAGGAGGCGTAGAGTGGAGCTGGGGGGGGGAAGGAAAACCTCCGGCAGCGACTGCAAACGGCATCTTCAGTGAGCTTCCAGGAAAGCAGTGGTAGCTGTACGGATGGGTTTTTAGAGGGGAATTACAAAGATGCGCTGCAGAAGAGCGAGAGAAGCACAGGGATGAGGCAATAGCGAATAAAAAAATGTTCAAACCAAGTCGCTGGAACAGGAAGGTGGGTCGATGGGAGGCAGCACACGAGCAACCTCGGCACGTGTTGGGCAAATGAGGAAGGACTGGTTAAAACGTCGGAGGGGGAAGTCTTGCTTCTCAGTTTTCTCTGAGACTCCGCGCGGAGAGCCACGGAAAAGGTCGGGGAGGGCTGAGGGCAGCAGCAAGAAGGCACCTGTGGGGAGGACGGTTGTTCGGGAGGAAGAGCCTCGGCCAGGGAGTTCTGCTGTCTCAGAGGCGGAGGTGAGGGCAGGGTGGAGGCGGGATTCCTCGGGAAGGAGGGATGGGCGGAGGGAGTGCTGGGGGGGAAGAGGAAGGGAAGAGCTCACACGTGCCGATGGCCGGAGAGACTTGGAAAACAGAAGGCAGAGAGGGAGGAAAGAATGGATGTGGTGAGCTCCTGGTGAGGTGAACTGCACTTTCGCTGGTGGGTGAGGATGAAACGAGGGCACTGGGGGAATTTCAACCATCTTGGGCCACCCAGAGCCCAAGAGCTCTGGCCCTCCTCCCCGGCTGCCTCGCCAGCGGGGGTTTGGAGCCAGGCATTAGCAGGATTTTTGGACGCCACACGGAGCACGAGATCTCCAGCAGCCACGGGGTGAGCTGGATCGTGCCTGGGCTCTCTAATTAATCAGGTTTTGTTTGCACTCTGGTGACTTCCCCTCCTTTCGATAAAGCGATTATCAAAAAACTGGCAGAGCTGGTGCAGCCTTGACTTTTACAAGGTGCCTTGTCTGATACTAAACGACACTGCCAATAATCTTACCTGACTTAAAACAAAACCAACCAAACAAAAAACCCACCTATCCCTGCGGCCAGGATAGTACAGGTTTTAAATTTTCTGGTGATTTTCTTTGTAAACTGCTCAGCAGGGTATTATTCAGGCAGCTGCATCAAGGGACTAATATAACATGTGTTCTCAATTTTGGACCCTTTATGTTGGGAATTTTCCGTTGTGCAATTGCATTAAATCTGAGGCGGCTGACAAGAGCACGATGTTTTCTAACTCTCCACAAGGTTAAATGGCTGAAATAAAAATAGATGGAAAAGAAAACAAAGTACAATACATTTGCTTTCTCATGTAATGGCAGGCAGTAGCATGAGGTCAGGGACTTAAGGATAGCCCGGCCATCAGTCAGGGACTGTGCAACAACTGAGCCTTCCTAAATCACTTTGGAAATTATCTTCTGTTTCAGATGCTCATTCTCTTTCATTCCACAGATCATACAACCAAGAAGACTGTATTCAAAGTTATAATTTTTATAAAAACTGTGGTAATAATGACTATATTTGTGAAGCATTTTACTCTCTGAACGCCTGGGCTGTAGGATGTTATTTGCAGTATTTTCCTTACTAGAAAACGTATGATTTTTACTACTGCCTGTAGGAAAAATACACGCCGTGCCGGTGTCATGGGGAGGGGGGAAGGCAATCTGCGGAGCAGAGCAGAAGGGTGGTCCTGCACGTGGGGGAGTCAATGAATTCACAGACGAAAATGTCAGGCCAAGGCAGCAGCTGGGGGTAAAGCCGGAGCTCTGCTCTTCAGACAGAAGCACCGGCGGGGTGGTGGATGGCGGAGGATGCAGCCTCCCGTGCAGCTCGTGGGCCTCTGTCCTGCCGCCCGCCGGGATCCTTTTTGGCTCCGTGTTTCCCCCGTTTTACACCTCGTAGGTTTGGGTTTCAGCCTCGATTGCAAAGGTGGCTGTTTGTTTTCGCTCGGAGGTTTTGGTGAAGTGGCAGACCAGCTTCGGCAGGTTCAAGCCCTCTGGGCTCTTGCAGATTGTCAGCACGATGCTGCTTGAGCGATTCTTAAGGAAAGTTTCATAAATAAAAGCAAGGGAAGGTGCCATTTATTGCTGTAATTTTCTTATTGATGCAGAGCTTCATGCATTTGCAGAGTTAATAGCTTTTGTTCGGGTAGAGAATAAGGTGACCTCAAATGCTAAATCCCGTTTTGTTCTGCTCAGATGACCAGCTGTGCCCCACGACAGTAGTTTGTACCCCCGTGACTGTTTTGTTGTCTTTCTGGTTTGGATATTGGTATTTTAATTACCAAGTCCTCTGTTCCCCAGGGTGCTAAAGCCAGAGGTGCTGCCCCCGAAGAGGGCGGGCGTCCAGCTGGCCGGTGCCCCTGTCAGCACAGCCCTCCTCACCCCGCGGTGCAATCTCCTTTTATTGCCTGAGCAGGCAGCTCATTCTGCTGGGTTCCTCCGATGATCCTGGTGGACAAGTTGCTCTGCACATCCTGTTGTTAGGTGAGCCATTAAGTTGTGCAGATAGCAGGGAGTTTTAGCAGCAGATGGGAAACTATATCCATTCAGGTCTGTGATGCGTCAGTCAAGTGCAAAAAATTTTATACATATTTTTATATATACATATATGCCTGTCTTGTGAAAAAACAGTTCAAGTTTAGATCTGTGCAAGACAGAACATGAAGTTAAAAATAAATCTTCAGAACATAGTGCATCTGAACACAAATTGTTTATTACTGGCTATTTTATTTATACCAGTCATGGGATATTCAACTACTGACATGGGAACAGCAAAACACAGTTTTTAATCCTGGGTTTGGCCACCAACACAACAAGCAGCAGCTATGAGAATTTAGCTTGAAGACCACAGAGCACAGACTTAAACCCAAATAGAGGAGTAAAACCGGGGCTCAGGATGCCGCTGAGGGCAGGCAGTGCGGGCATGCCCCGTTGCCAGCAGTTTCATTAAAACTGTGTCTTTAATTACAACCCAGGAGCAGAGGGGCTTTGTGACGCTGCTGGTGGCTGAGCTTCAGCGCTGGGGCCCCTCCTCAGGCATGCTGGCCCCCAGTGCTTCTTCACAGCACCCCACCTGTGGATGTACCTACCTTTTTTTCTTTTTTTTTTTTTTTTAATGAATAGTCAGATGTAAATTAACAACAGAGGTGAAAACGCAACCATGTGCTTCTCTGGTCCACCTAAAAAAGGAAAAAAAAAAGCAGCCATTAAGTTAATATTATTTACTGTTGAAGGCTACTAGAGTACATTTGTAAAAAATATTAGCAGTGCCATGTAATCTAAACTGAGTGCCAGGCACGCTTCATTTTAATGTTTGTTAGTGTACCTCTTAAAACTTCCATGCCGTCTTTCTCTTCTAAAATATGAATGAAATTGTGACATCTGGTCCAAAGCCTGCGCAGAGAATCTTTGTAATAGCTGGAGTTTTTATGAACACAGCTTGCACTAGCTGAAAGGGGAAAATATAGAAAAGGCATGGTGTTAATGGGCTCTGCTTTCCTCAATATTCATTCCACTTAAACAGGGAAAATAAAAACTATAGTGTTCTCACTTGAAGAACAGCCAATTTCTCCAGTATTTTCCTGCCACCCTAGCCAGAAAATATGATGCCTCTTGGAGATGTTGGTCAATGACTAATTACATTTTCTGTGTATTTAAAGGTTAAAGTAATTAAAAATATCAAATCTTTTCCTCTTTGCAATAAAAAAAAAATAAAAACTGATCTCAGTTCTTGAGGGGATGAGGGGAGAGAGCTCTCTTTTAATCCATGAACGGTCCAGTGCAGTAGTTTTGGTTCACAGATCTGTGAGTGTGCTCTGGGGCTAATTTGTACTTTTCTCTTGTTACTTTTCTTGGCCATTAGGAAGAGCTGGCTCACAGGCAGAGGCTGGAACACGCTTCTCCCACTTCAGACCCTCTCTGCCATTATTAATAGCAAGAACATTTTCCTGTTAATAATTTAGATAGATGGATGGATGGATGGATGGATGGATGGATGGATGGATGGATGGATGGATGGATGGATGGATGGATAGATAGATAGATAGACAGACAGACAGACAGACAGGCACCCCCCATATATTGTTTTGCTTCCCATTCCCTTCTGTTTTTTTCCAGGTACCACTTGTTTGATCGCCCTGTTGTCAGATAAAGAACTCACCGTGGCCAACGTGGGTGATTCGCGGGGAGTCCTGTGTGACAAGGACGGCAATGCTATCCCCTTGTCACACGATCACAAGCCCTACCAACTGAAAGAGAGGAAGAGGATTAAAAGAGCTGGTGAGTCATCACCTTTTGGCTTGGGGTTGAAGGTTCATCTTTTTTCTTCTCTACTCTGTCATTAATACAGACTTTTCCCCTGAGAGAGACTGAAAAGTACTAGGCTGAGGCACCAGCAGATAAAATCTTCCATTATTAATACAGCACTCTTCAGTGGGATGTTGTGGTGTGGGCAGAGAAATGGAAGCAGAGTGGCCTAACCCTTAATGAGCCAGTGTCAGAGGAAGAAGAGGCAGGCAGCTCACCGTCCCAGCCAGTTCCCTTGTGATCTCTGCAGGGAGCAAAAAAAAAAAAAAATAGGAGCAGCAGCACTAGAGGTGTCTTTGCAGCAAACCGTATCAGCGGCCGTTATGTGAGAGGCTGGGTCTGAAGCTCAGTGAGGTTTAGTTCCTAGAAGAAGCAGAGCATGAACCTAATTCATCAAAGCTATTTTTTGTTCCCATATAGTGACCGCTAATGAGCGCAAACATGTAAATTGTAGCAGGAGTACTGGGGAAGAATATAAGAAACATCAACTTTTCTGCAATAAATCTTTCTAGCTTTCATCACTCATCAGTTTAGTGACCTCCTGGGCTAGAAGTTACATTTGGATCATCAAGTTTAATAGCCAATTCTCCATGAATTTATCAAAGTGTCTTTTGAACCCATTTCTGGTTTGGCTCCCACAGCAGCCTGAAGCAGCAAATTATTTGATGAAGAAGAAAAAGTTCCTCTCGTTTGTGTTAAACCTACCGATGAGCACCGCCTCCAGAGATGCATTGCCTCTCTGCCTCCAAGTCTTTGTCTGCAAAGTGGAAATAACAGGTTTTCCCCCCGAATATAAAACATTTTTAAAACCTACAGGTTATCGGTGCGCTCACACCAGCATAAATGCCCGTACGTGTGCAGTGTGCACTTCCCTCTCAGTTTGCTTTTATCGCCGCGGAGGTGTAAGAGCAGTGGGGATCCTTCCCACCACCAGAGAGCCGAGGTCAGGCGTGTACCCCAACGGGGGAGAAAAGGTACACAGATCCTAAGAAGAAGGAATAGGAAAATCTTGGTCTCGCTTTGCTTCACCTCTGTACTTGGGGGATGTATGAATAAAACCTGGAGATTCATCTGTAAAATTCCTTCCCTCTTAGCCACGTCCAGGGCCTCTGTGCAGTTGTTCACTTCGAGAAGCCCTTCACCTAGGAGAAAAAAAAAAGAATTCCATTATTTTATTTGTCTAGAAGTGAGGCTTTATAACACAACAACATGTAAAATTAACCTGGATTTTTGCAGGAATTTCCAACATGGGAAGAAATTATTTTAATAGACAGGTCAATGTTATAACAGTCTGCAGCTAAACAAGAAATACTCTGTCTAGCCTAGTAACTTAATGAATTTCCCTTCTCTGTTACCTATTGCCCCGTTATATTATCATGACTGATATGGCCTCACAGTGCTAAAAACATACAATCCAGTTTCTATTACTGCTGGATGCTTTTACATATTGGAACATCCCTTCTTTACATACAGTAAGTGTCAAATCAAAGTGGCCAAACGGAATTATCAAGCCTACACTGCAACTGTGGCAAAAGTACCTGATGTTTTTCCAACATCTAGCGACAATAACCACATCATTATGTTACAGTTTGATTTTCCAACTTTACCGTGCACCATCAAGCTGCACTGTCCAGTGCCCCGTAGGTAGTTACGAAATGACTGCACATTTGTGTTCGTAGGATTAGATTTCATCTAAAAGTGAAATCCATATAGCCACGGTTGAGAAAATATCCTTCAAACCTCGTTCTGATATAAATCAATTGGAGGCAGCCTGAAACAGCAGCTCAGAGAGAAGCGTGACTTGCCCTCTGCGTTTCAGTGGGGCGTTAACATTGAGATGGCAAGTCTAAACTAATCTGTCATTTTTTTTGCTGCCACGGTGGCTGGTAAGGAGGCTCGCTGCTCTCAGCGGTCGGTGGATGGGGAGTTAATTCAGTCCCTCTCTCTTCCCCATTCCCAGCGACTGCGTACAAAGTCTTGGTCGACTCACAACTTGAAAAAACTCCTTTTTGAAAAAACTCGAGGTGCCTGGAGCAGCTCTCACGCTGAAGCCCCAGCCACCGCTCGGGTTAAGTCTGGGTCAAGGCTGACTGTTATTTTCACAAGAGGCTGCGGTGCCGCGGGGGTCCCACCACTCTGAGCCATTCTGTGGGAACAGGGGGTGAGCGTCCTGCCATACACGGGTGCTGGTTTCCCCCCAAACCACCAGGAATCTCCTGAGCAGGAGCTTGAGCGATATATGGAGTATCGGCGTAAGACAACGGCCTTGAAACAACCAGGGGTTTGGCTCATGAAGAAACATTCGGTTATAAAGCCACAAGGTGACTGTCACTGGTAGAAATTTAAGTCGTTCACCTTGAACATAATCCTCTGAGCTCAACTCCTGCTAACATGCAAAATGCTTGCCAAAAAGCTTCTATTTCTTGAATGTCTTTCCTTCTCCAGTGGCAGCCAGCACTGCAGAATGTTTGCTTATCCATGAGCGTTTTTACGTATTCTGCATGGAGGGCTTTATAAAAAAAGATATTAGAAGTCTCAACAGACACTTCAGCAAACCACAGGAATTCAACCTGTGCCATGGGTGGATCCAGGTGCCACGTGAGAACGGCACCAGGATGTCACTTTGTACGCGTAAGCACGACCTGCAAAAACTGGAGTAAGCACGCTGCAGCGAGGCAGCAGCATCAGCTGCCTCCCCTGCAAGCACAGTAACAGGTACAGGCGCTGCTGTCCTCTCGTTGTGGGTAAAATGTCTGCTCAAAACTGCCTCTTATTAATTGCATTTTGCTTGCCCTGGCATTCTAATACGTACACGTGATTACACTCCAGTTATTGTAGTCACAGAATCACAGAACACCAGGTTGGGAGGGACCTCAAGGATCAGCTGGTCCAACCTTTCTGGCAGAAGCGTGGTCTAGACAAGCTGGCCCAGCACCCTGTCCAGCTGAATATTAAAGGTGTCCAATGTTGGGGAATTCACCACTTCCCTGGAGAGATTATCCCAGTGGCTGATTGTTCTCATTGTGAAAAATGTTCGTCTTGTGTCCAGCTGGAATCTCCCCAGTAACTTGTACCCATCACCCTTTATCTTTTCCAGGGGACTCCTTGTAAAAAGGGAGTCTCCATCTGCTTTGCAGCCACCCTTCAAATACTGGAACATGGGGATAAGGTCTCCCCTAGACTTTCTCTTCTCAAGGCTGAACAAACTCCGTTCTCTCAGCCTGTCCTCACATGGCTGCCCAGGCCTTTGATCATCTTCTCTGGGCCCTCTCCAGCCTGGCCACAGCTTTTTTGCATAGCAGGAACCAAACCTGAGCACAGGATTCCAGGTGTGGCCTGACAAATGCTGAGCAGAGTGGGATAATGACTTATTTCTCTCTGCTGGTGATGCCCTTGGTGATGCAGCCCAGCACCCCGTTGGCTTTGCCGCAGCAGCACCCTGTTCACTCATGTTGAGGTGGTTGTTCCCTTTCCCCAGAGCTGCTCCCCAGCCGGGAGGATCCCAGCCTGTGCTGCGCTCCTGGGTGATGTGTTCCCAGGTACAAGACCTTACACTTGGCCTTGCTGAATTTCATGAGGTTCTTGTTATCCCACTCTTCCAGCCCAGCCAGGTCTCCCTGCAGGGTGACTCTCCCTTCTGGAGTGTTCACTTCCCCACTCAGTTTGGTATCGGCAGCAAACTTCATCAGGACACAGTTGATCCCATCATCCAGATGATTTCTGGAGATATTAAAGAGTGTTGGGCCCAATATCCATCCCTGGGGGACCCCACTGGTGACAGGTTGCCATTTCCCACCACCAGTCCTCATCACTTATGAGCTGGTGAGTAGGGGCTGTGTAACGTTCAACCGAGGTGCCCTCAAAACCTACAGCAGCAGCCAGACGAGGTTTGTGTGACTGAACATTTAAAGAGGAGCTGCAGCAGGCTCACCAGTCCTTCCTCTTCTTGACTACGGGAGGAACTATCTTCATAACAGAGGTTCTGTAAAAATACTCATGAAAAAACCCAGCCGAAAAGTTCTGTTTCTGCTGGTTTTAACACAAATCAAGTTTCAAGCTTTAAACAACAATGAATCATTACATGAAATGCAGTTTCACTTGAAAGCAGAAGGAATTTACAGATTAGACCAGCCAACCAGGAATGGAAATGCTATCGTAAGATTTAGGTGACCGGGTGACTGACAAATAGCACAGAAGCTGAAGTGCAGAGCTGAAAACATTCCGATAACTAAAAAGACATTTATAAGAACACCAAAGCAGACAGCTTGAAGATCTAAAAGACAACAGTTCAGCTAAATTTGTCACACATTTTAATGTTCTGCGTTCGCATATTATTTGTCCTCAAGTGACTTTTCATTCACATTAAGATGACAGGAATATTGCTGTGAAACAGTGCAGACAGTGGCACACAGATACAGGCACGGGAATTGAAGGTGCCTCGATTTTACTGTTTGACCTTGAACACTGCACAGTTCTGGCACAATCGGACTGTGTAACTGCCCAGCGCTGGCTGTGCCAGAGTCATCAATTTCAGCGCAAAACGTATCTCACTACAAGCAGCCCCTAAATAAAATATTTTCCCCTAGAAGTAGCCTTAATCCTGGTGACGGTAAAAATCAGTCAGATCCCACATTGCATTTTTCTGACCTGAAGTAAAATTCCATGATGGGTTTGTTCACAACAGTTTTTCGGTCCATTTTGACCCAGCTCATTCAAAGCAGTGCGACTGAAGAGCCCGTCAGTGGTTTTGCACTTCGCTTCTTTGCTTTGTGCCTTAAAAGGGAGATGCGAGTCCTGCTGCAGGGTGTTCTGAGAGTTGTTTCCTTCAGAGATCTTCTGAAACGGGGCAAACGTGAACCGCGCGGAAAGAGGTGTTTACTAACACAAGATTATAAAGATTTGCTTTCACTGTTTTTGTCTTAACGTTGCCACACGGCTTTCTGAACAGTCAGCTGTGCGGGACAGGAGTGCCTGTGTTCGAGAAGCTGTCTGCCTCGGCGGGGGCAGAGAGCACGGAGAGGCTTCCTTTGAAAGCAGAACCATTCCTGACTTCCCTGTTTCAGCAGCCACCATCCAGCTCTTCCCTCCAGCACCCCGAGATTTCCTCCGGGCAGCTCCTGCTCTCTGAGCCCCGGAACCCCCGTGTGCCTCAGGATACAGCCGGGTGAATTTTTGGGGTGGGTCTGGCGGGAAGCCAGAGCGATGCTTTCACGTTCGAAAGAACCGCGCTAAGTGTCGGTGTTTCTCTCCAGGTGGTTTTATCAGCTTCAATGGCTCCTGGCGCGTTCAGGGGATCCTGGCCATGTCCCGCTCGTTAGGAGATTACCCTCTGAAGAACCTGAACGTTGTCATTCCCGACCCCGACATCCTTACCTTTGACCTGGACAAACTGCAGCCAGAGTTCATGATCTTGGCGTCGGATGGTCTGTGGGATGCTTTCAGCAACGAGGAAGCTGTCCGATTCATCAAGGAACGCTTGGATGAACCACACTTCGGTGCAAAGAGCATAGTTCTACAGTCCTTTTACAGAGGATGTCCTGATAATATAACAGTGATGGTGGTGAAGTTCAGAAATAGCAGCAAAACAGAAGAACAGTAATTACCGGTGGCTCCCTGCCTCACTCTGAACTGAAAACAAACTCTTACATTTTAAACATAGTAGAAAGCTCTAGTAAATACCGTTAAGATTCTACATAAAAGGAACAGATCCCTCTGGTCTTTGTTCTTCGCTTAACAAAAGGAGCAATACAACAGATACACTCTGAGTGATTATAAGAATTAAGTTTGTTCACATATACCTGTTTCCTGTGACCTTGCTGCTCCTTAGAAACTAACTGTAATCTTCCATTTCAGAATTTGCTTTCCAAACCCTCTGTAGACTTTTCATTTGATTCCTCACCTCTCATTTCTAATAGTCAAAGGTTCGTTCAGATGCACAGCAGGGTCGGGGCAGTGCTGCCGCTTAATAGCAAGTGATAGGAATGATGCTGCTTTTCACTCGTAGGTGTGACTCTTCAGAATGATGCTCTCGTGTTTCTCATCTCTTTTCTTTTTTAATCTGCAGTGATAAGGTTCTATAGGAAAAGGTTAGCGATTATTGGCCTGTTACTGATAGGAAGGAGGAAGAGGAGCCAACTATTATCCTGCTACCACAGAACTGGCTCTCTCGCTTTGTTTAACCTCCCCCCCTGAAATCAATTCTTGCCAGGCATGTGATGAGGTGTAGTTACCGAATTACCTGAAGCCACATGTTTATTCAGTCTGTGCATTACTCTCATAACATTTCTTCTATGCCATATTGTATTCAAACCAACTAACGTTAAGCTTCCACAAAATACTTTGAGGTCTGACACCTTCTATATTAAAAAATAGCTCTGTCGTGATGGAAGAATGTCTGTCACTCACCAAGACTCATCCTTACATTAGATTTTTGGCATGGATGTTTCATAGGCATGTAAAGAAAGGAATGCAAGATAAAATTAATTTCGTTAGTGACTGTTTGGAAATCTAATCCAAACAGGGCATTCCTTAGAGCTACTCAGATGGAAGTCAAGCCTATTAAAGACTTCTGTGTAGCACTGCAGATTAATTTGTGGTGTTAATCCGGGGGAAGACCACTTTCGAACAGTTTTTTGGTATAATATATAAATGCCAGGCAGTGTCATTGCACTGTAGAGGCAAAAGCTTGCGTTAAATCTAGATAAAAATGCATTTAGCTCTAACGTTCAGTATTTCATTGTATTTTGGAACCTGTGACTCCTGTAAGTTTGGCCAACGGCAGTCGGAGTTTGCTCGCCATCTGCTAACTGCGCCGGCTGCTTCACAACGCAGAGGCAGCGTGGCAGGGCCCCCCGTGAGCCGGGGGAGCAGAGCCAGGGCCCGAGCCGGGGGCGCGTTTTGGGCGCCTTCCTCACCCGCATCGTGTCGTACAACAGTCCCTGGGACTCCCTGCTGGCAAAGCGCGGTCCTGGACGATCCGCTGAAGTCTCCCGTCTTGAAGGCGATGGGGGTTGTCAGTATTCGGGTCCTGAGGTGAATCAGGGATATAATGCAGTAACTAACCTTGGCTGTGTCTCGGATAAAGGTACGATGTAACTTCGTTTAAAAGCGACCCGTTTTCTCGTCGCCCACCTACAGCATTTTGGGGCAAGTGGCTTTGCTGGGCCCTAAAACGCTGTGATGTGTTGTGGTCGTGCTGAGCAGCTGTGGCGTCTCTGAAGACAAAACTGAAAGAGCACAAATTCCGCTTTCTGCTCGAGAAGGAACTCCCATCTTAGTCTTTCCGGTTTTGTTCCTAGGTTATCTCTTCCCCGACACACTTCTCTCCTTGTTTAGAGATAATCACAGCTCTTAATTGGCTCTGTTGCAATGACCAGTGCTATTCAAAGCGTACACAAGTCCTTTAGCAGCCTCTGCTCATCCCAGACTCTGGGTAGAGCCCCTTGACTCGGAGCAATAGAAAAGTGAAAAGCATGAAAGTGTCCGGCATCCTCTGAAACCAGCAGGCAGGTCCTTCCCCGGAGGATGGAAGGTTTCAGACTTTTTAAATCTCGTGAACAGTGAATTTTAAAATGCAACTGTGCAGTTAAATCGAGCGGCTAACTGGAAATGTTAATAATTGCAGAGTGCTTCAGTTATTTTATTTTGAAAAGGTATTTGAGGTCAGAGGGCTGTGAAATGAAAACCTTGTGTGATACTTTCACGGGAGTGCTTAATCATGGGCTCCGTGATGCTAGAGCAGCAGTATGGAAACCGTGCTCCAGGCAGAGCTCCTGGTGCATGCGGGGTTTGCCTTTCCTTTCTCCTTCACAGATGATGTTTCCGTTGTACCGGCTTGTCTCTGTAGGACACAGCCTGGAGGTTTGTCAGAACAGCTGCCCAGGGAAAAGAAGAAGAGCAGAGACATCACTACTAATCCTTCACAAGTTAGAACTGGAACACTGGTCAGCTCCAAAAAAAAAAAATAAAATGTTGTAGACTCTTGCCACTCTTGAGCGAAAAGCTGACGGCTGCGGCTCCCGTCGCGGAGGGACACCCCAGCTCCTGCCCAGCACAGCCCGCTCGCTGGTCGCTCCCGCCCTCGAGGCGGTGGGGAAGATGAGGTGGCAGGAGTCGTACGCCTTCGCGGAGTCCGGCAGCAGCCGTGAGGAAGCAGCGGGAGGGTGGCTCGCTCTGGAAGCGAGCCATGCTCACAGGATTTAGGAAAGCAGGTAGCGCAACGCAGCGCAGAACTGTTTGGCAGACTTGGTTGGATATTTACTGCAGGATTTATTTGCTCTGTCACTCCCAGGCCCAACCAGCCTTACTTGAACCTTCAAGAGTCTGCCATTGCAACAACAGTTGTTGAGCACCATTCCAGTAGCTCCCCTTCCTGGCCAAAGGCATTCATGCCAATGATCTCTGGTAAACTTGTTGACTTTCGGTTTTATTACTTAAAAAAAATAGTTACAGCTACTTTAGGTTTAAAGATGAGGGATTAATGGAGATGACAGGCTTGCTGTAGTCTTCCACATACATGCGCAGTGCCTACCTACGCCCAGGTAGAACTCTAAGAAGTTTTTAATCCAGTTCTAGACATCTAGAACTTCCCTGTCATATTAATTTGTGCCAAATTCTGTCGTGATACATACGGCTGTTGGATGACAAGCAATGTACATATTCTTTATGCAACCCAAACGATCGAGGGTCTGTTCCTCCACTGCCTTAATCATACGTCCTACGTCTGGAAAGAGTTGCCAGACCCTGTAGGCAGAAACAGCCCCAGGTACGCTCGGGCAGCGTGGCAGGTTCCGGCATCGGAGGGGCAGGGCTTCCGCACGCCATCCTCAGCGCGGCTTTCCTGCCATTTTCCCCCTCCAAAAAAGGGGAGATGCGTTGCGGTTAGGTGGCGCGCACACATCCGAGAGCTCCCGAATTCTTGCTGTATGAGTGTGTGGAGGTTTTTTGTTGCGTAAGCCGGAGTAGCTCCCTCAGTGACATCCATTCATCAACGATGGTTTCTAATGGCAGGGAACAGGTATGTCAAGTTGCTGCCGAAGAGCATCTTTTGTATGGTCCAATATAAAAAAAAATTAACCTTGTAATTAGTCATCCAGTACTTAAAAGAATTTAGGCTCCTCCCAGCTAACAGTTTAACTCACATAGTGCTTTTTAAAGACACTACCATCTAGATTTTCGCTCTGATTATCGACTACCGTTTAGTTTGTCATTCTTCACAGTTTATCAAACCTCGGCGGGTTGTAGCTCCGGGTCCCGGTACGCACCCCGGGCCTTGCACCAGCCTGGTTAGGCGGGCTCAGAGCTCCGTCTAGTGGCTGGCCTGGCCTGAGTAGGAACCCAGCACTACTTCTTGCAGCTACTAGTTGCTCTCGTAGCCCCTGTGAAAAAAATGTGCGTGATTTAGTCCCCACTGATCCTGTCTCCTGGGGGAGGGATGGTCACGGATGACATTGTGAGGCCTGCGTCAGAGCTGTAGTCCTAAAATTACTAAAAATTACAAAATTTTAAATGAAAGAGCCTGTTTTACTGAATAGAATGTTTGGATAAATATAAATAAAGTAAATGTCATCTAGCATCATGAAGTATTGTCTACTGACTTATGAACACAAAGTCAGTACCAAAACTATTCCTAATGTTATTACAGTATTCTACCAGTTACCTAAGGTAAAAATAATAAAAAAAAAAAAAAACCACAACAGTTGTGAAGTTTTTAGAATACATAAGTTAGTACTGAAGCAGTGCATCAACTTGAAACAAGTGTTTGCTACGTAAACACTAACACTGCATCTTGAAATGTTGTTCAGCTGCCTCTCAGAAGACAACATCCTTGCTTTAAACAATACTAATAGATTGCTAATATATCTGATACTTATTTTACACAGAGAAACATTTAGTACGTGATTATAGTAAAGGAAAAAAAACACCTCACCAGCCTTTCTTTTTCTCGAGTAGGTTTTTAGGCCTCCATCCTGCAATCTGGCTGTACAAAATTCCAAAGTTAAAGTGTAGAACATTCTGCTGAAGTCTGACAACTGCACAGACCAGAGCTGCTGCCCTTCAGTGTTGTCAATATATTTATAAATTCTCTTTCTAAACCTGAACTCGTATCTAAAAAGATACAGACAGTTAATATTGAGTTGAAGTTTAAATCACTTTTATTTATATAGTGTTGACTGCATAAGGCTTAGGTAAGAAGCTGTTTTGCCTACAGTTTTCCCGTAGGTAACCTTAAGCTGTAGGTATCAGTTGTCTCTAGTCACACGATAGCCTGGATGCTCTGTTCAGCAAAATGTGTGTGGCCAAAGCAGCTGAAGCCTATCTAAACCCATCGATAGACGCTCATATCACCAGCAAGTCTCAAGTAAAGCTTTGAAATCCACTTCTATGAGCAGGTCAGCTCCTATATCTGCTCAGTCCTAGGGAAGAACTCTGAATTAGTTGAGCAATAGGGCAATAAGCACTTTTTTCTGCATTTAAATGGCCAACTCTATATTCCTGTAAGGCTGTGGAGACATATCAGTGCTTCTAGGGACACCGATGCTCAGAAATCTACTGCAGCCTCTATTCCACCAAGTTCATCAAATGAATAATCAGTTATAATGCAGGACTGTCGAACACTGCTCTCCAGGCATTCCTGCACTGCATTCACTGCCAAAGTCCACAGGTGATTTTTAAACTTTCTCCTGGTAAGAAAAACTTAGTGATGCTAAAAAGGTGATTCATTTGGAAAAAAGTTCTTTGGAGCTCGTTCCAGTCTGTACTGACTCTCCACTGCTCTTTGGTACACGGCTCTGTATGCATAAGCTAGGTACAAAACGTCAGCAGTGCTCAGCAGTGCTGGATTTACAAATGAAGTCAATTTTTATGCAGTTCAAACCCATCTACCTTTAACATGGCAAACTGCAACGATCGCGTCGCTGCTGACTACAAAGTTAACAGGAGAAGCCCCTGGAAAAACAACTTTAAAACCCGTGAGGTGTGAATACTACACTGAGCGACTGTAAAACCGCTTCTACCCGGTGTGTTTGGAACTGGTCTCGAAGAAACAGTCGAGGCCGACTCATTATGAAAATGAACCGCACGTTCAGAACGCTGCAAGGGCAGGTCAGAGCTTTATTAACAAAAATCCCACACGACACTCAAGATAACGAACCCGCAGTGTTGAAGCAATCCATCTCGGTTAGCGACAGCTTCCATTCAGTACAACACGGCTGTGTTATCCGAGATAAGAGCCTCTTCAGGCTTGTTTGTAACGTTTTTTTCACTCAAAGCCAGAAGTGGTTTTACGATTTTATCTCTATCGCAAGCTCAGGGGAGACTGCGCTTTACTCTGAGGCGGAGGACCGCCGCAGGCAAAGCAGTGCTGAGGAGCGGCTGGGATGTCGGGCCGAGCCCCATCCCGGTCGGGATGGACGCGACGCCCACACACCGTCGTCTCTCCCGATGTCCAAAAAAGCTCATTGGGATTAACGTGGCCTGGAAAACGAACGTGCTGCGCAGCAACGGTCAGAAGGCCAGAGGTGAAGGGAGCTCAGGTATAGAAACCATCTCGAGAGAGGTCACTTGGGGTCAGCTTTGTCTTTTTAAGTCCTTCTTTGATAGGAGGAAACTAAGTCCCAGAGTCCCATCAGGGCAGGTGAGACGAGCGACACTGAGCACGGACACTACTTCCCACTACGAGGTGCAGGCCGGTACGGCCTTTAGCCAGGAATCACCTAACAGCAGCATTTCAGGGACAATACTTTCTTCAGTCCTGTGAAAGAAAGTGGCTTTGTGATTTTTAGAAACCCAATATATAAATAGAGGGGGGGATGGGCTTGGGTATGGTTTACAGTTTGAGGTTTCTTTCACAATCTGAGGTTTCTTTAAAATGTGGACTCAACTACACATGAAAAAACTCACCGCCAAACCCAACCACCTGCTCAGCTTCATCTTACCTTTGTTTTCTTTCCTTCCTGTATGGAGTTCTTGCATTTGGATATGGTTTACAGCTTAATATGCAAAACACAGGAACAGCATTAAAACCTGAGAAGCTTCATTTAACGGAGACTGTAGAAAGCTTTACATCTTTCCCTGCCACCTCTATCTTAGGCAAACTGTAAAGTACGTAATGAATGACCAAAATGGAACACGCTACTCAGACAAAAACAGAGGGGAATAAAAATTTTAAAATACAGAGCAAAGCTCTGCCTCCCAACCTCCTTCAACGTGAGCGACAGACACACATCAGGAGTTCAGCGTCACACTGCTTGGCTAACCTTCAGTTTTTAGTTTAAATTTAAAAAAAAATATTATAAAGTTACATTATTTATTGTGCATCGAGGCATTCATGAGTTAGTTGCTGTGAACTTGCACTGAAATGTTTTAGTAGTAATTAGAAAATGTAAGACAAAACTTAGGAAAATATTCCAAGCCATCTACGTCCTGTTAATACTGAACTGATCATAGAGTAACGCCCCTAAATTTGCAGCACGTTCTGTTTCGTGGTTTACTTTGAACTTGTTGGTTCTACAACGCACACACAATGTTTGAGCATTCTGACTTTTTAACTCTTCTGAAATAACGTACAGGCAACACAGGCTCAGAAGTTTCCATCACGAACCCCTTTTGCTACTTCTACTCAGCAGTAGTTTCCAAACATCTTTGACCAACGGATTGTTATTAGGCTTTTCAAGACAGAAAGCCCCACAATTTTAATATCAAAATCACAAATGCTTGCAATTTGGATTCAATACAGCTTTCTGAACCACTTACCTGCACGAGAAAAAGAATCTTAGGATTTGGAAAAATCTTGGCCTGTGGTTTAGGCTTCGGTTTTAGTACAATATTGTAGGCAGATGCAATAACATTTGGGCTTTTTTTAACCTTTTGCATGGCTGCTCACACTACAGACTTTCCTGATATTTGCTTTTAGCAGGAACATTAGCGTAGTTATGAATTTTTATGATCTTTTAAGCAATAATAAGGTCAGACTCAAATACAAACCAGATTTGGAAATGAGGTTTTTTTAAAAAGCAGGAGCAGGAATATTTCACAATGTAAATTTCTTGCAGAATTGATGTCACTTCAGATTACAATTTCAGGTGGCATAAACAGATCACTGTGTATAAACCTACATTTGTGAAAGCAAAAGCCTTGTAATCTATGATCAGTGTTATCATTCTGGGGCACAAATATAAAAAATACCTTGCTTGGTGACAGTTGCTTTTTTATTGAGGTCCTGCACAACCATTTCTCTGTGATACTCGTTTCTAATTCTCTCAACAGGAGCACTGTCTGCTTTATCTATCCAGTTTCTGAAGACTGCGTAGTGTTTCATAATTACTTTTTTTTTTTTTTGAAAAAGCAATACAAACTGTGCTGTAGTATCAGTGTTCTTGTGACAAATAATTTATTTCTAAACATTTAACATGGCAGGCTTATAAAAAAAAAACTGAGGGTTTTTGGTTTTTTTTTTTTTTTTTAAGCTGTATAAACAATCAAAGGACAAGTCAAACATTTCTCACAGAGCTCTCAGGATCTGACCACAGTACAACAATCAAATAACAGATCCTAACACCATAGGAACAGCTGTCGTTTTATCTCTGTTTCTCAAAATACAATAGCATTCTTCCCTCAGTTATGCAATACTGTATCTTTAGCTATTTAACAAAAAAAAATCTATTTTTGAAAAACTCTCACCTTCTTAACACAGAACATTCTTAGAATACTGACACCTGAAATACTTGCCTAGAGAGTATTCTCCCCAAGACTTAATTTTTATATCTAAAAAAATAACACGTCCTATAATTCCATCAAGATACCCTGTGCAGCTGTTGAAAAAGATAGCAAAATTCAATACGGACCATAATCACAATGTAACAAAAAATGTGGTGAAACCTCAAAGTTGGTACTAGAGGTTTCTGCACCTCTTCTAATTTGTCTCTAAGAGACTACCTGAAAGACAGCCAAATGTAAATACATCAGAACATCTTAGCAGTAGTACAAATAAGGTGGCAGTGCTCTGTCATTCTAGATGTACAGGATGTAACTATAGTATCTTCACTGTGTAGTGGATGTGTCAAGAATAATTATGTTCATGCAATTGCAAATTCTGTATTGTTGTCTATTAGAAGTGTAAACTACTGAAAACATGGCCTTGCTGATATGAATAAAGTGATTAAAATACCCATCTTTACAGATACAGTAGAGTATGTCTTCTTTCAGAAACATCAATCTTAGAATTTATGTTCATTTTAAGATTTGAAGGAAGAAAACTATTTTAGAAACAGATATAATGTCACAATGTAAATGCACCTGTTTTAATCTTCCCTGTGTGGTTCCCAAACTCTCGGGACGCATCAGCACGCACACGTATGTGTGTATGTTTGGGGGGTTTGGTTATCCTGAGGAATTAGAGATGTCTAGTAACTAAACCGCACATGAGCTCTCTTGCAACTCGCCCCCCTAGTAGTCTGCGAACAATTATCAAAGACACCAAAGCGATTCTCTTTTATACATGTATAGATACACCTAGAGACACACACAGAGCACATCCCGTTTTCAGAATTTCCCATCGGCTTCTGCAGACCCCACAAGATCCACAGGCTTGTCACTCTCAGACGATTACGGAGGCAGAATGTTTAAGTAAAACGGTGTGACACTCCTGGGAGGATTACAGAGGTGATAGATTGGAAGAAGAAAGTCATTCTAAGTTTCACGCTGGGCAGAGAACAAATACTTGAGAGTAGCAAAGAATGATGCAGTTGCAAAAACAATTTTTAAAAAAATCCGGGTAGGAATTCTGGAAGCATCTTGAAAGCTAGCTTCTTGGCATAAACGTTATTCCTTGGTGACATTTCCTGCATGCCAGCAGATTCAGGCAGAAATCCCGTAGTTACAGGAGACCATGTGGAGAAGTGTCAGAGGAACACAGGACAGTGTATTTCAAAGTATCCTGCATGCATAGGATACGTACATGGAAAAGTGCTTTGTGAATTCCTAGTATTTTTATTTGAGAATATTAGCATGTCCCAGAGAAATGCTGCTGTTGAAGGTTTGTCCCGGCAGCACAGCCCTCCTTCAGTCAAAGTCATCTCTATGGCTGTGGTTTTATTTTGTGTTGCCCTGGACTTTAAATACATTTAAGTTTATATACTAATACAGAATCAAAGGCAAGTAACTGAAGTGCTTGATGACAAATCCTGCCAAAACCTGATTATTTCACTTGATGTAATGCCATGCACTGCGATCAACTGTCTATACTTACAGATATCAAAATTAATTTTATAAAGAAAGAATTGCTTATCTTCTGGAATGGTGATGTTTACCTTAAGTATATTTAAGCAAATCCCAACATAAACATCCTCAAATTTAATAGGTTTGATATGACCCATCAGTTCATAAATCCTGAGAGCCAGTTTTCCATCCAATATATAACCCATCCCACTGCAGTAGGGAGGATACAACCTGAATGGATACTCATCGTAGGAGATGTATGTTTTCTTGTAAAAGCCCCTGTAGGCAAGGTTATCTATAAGGGGATAACCAGTGAAAAGATTTTCTGAGGAATTCAGGGTCAGAAGAAATTTTACCAAGTTAGCGGTGTTGATGAAGACATCAGCATCAGTCTTCATGAGGAATCTGGTGTTTGAGCAGAACTCAGTGACCCACCTAAACGCCATGATCGTTTTCAAGGTGAGATTGTCATAAGTGTCCATAAAATCTTGGCGAATTATGTCACCGTAGAGGATGCTTTCATCTTCTACTGACAGTGCTGCAGCATTGTCGTCCCTCTGAGTGTCCTGACCCAGTAAGAACAGGGTTAGAATTCGATGTCCCCACCAGAAGTTTTGAGATCCCCAAGTTATCCTGATGGCCTGCCTCGACTCCACATCCTTCGGAGTTGAAGACACCAAAATGACTAGAAAGGGGTTCACGTCTTTGCATTTCAAGTGCTCCCGCAGTGTGAAGAGGTAGTGTTGCTTGTAAATCGGTTCGTATTCATAGAAATACATCACGTTTGTACGCTCGATCACGGAGGTGGAAGAAAAAGTTAGGTACCATATTGTTACAACAGAAAATACGAGGAGAAACAAAAAAATCCATTTTAACGCTCTCACATACATGACACTAACTGGAACTGGGCATAACTAATTTGCAGAAGTGTCTCAGTGACCTTCAAAATCTGTACCACAAGTCCTGAAGCACATTTCCTGCTGAAAAAGAAATGAAAAAGTAGCATTCAGAACGCTATTATTCAAATATTGTCTTTGTCTTATCTTGTCTCGAGTGTCAGCTGAAAGCATGCTGTAATGTAACGAAGACAAATCTGAGACTCATTGGTCCAGCTGTTGCCCACAGCATCCTGGGCACCATGAATCACTGCTGCATCCCAGAAACGAGTATGAGCGGAACACTGAGCCGCTACAGAGCAATGTAGGGACTGAAACCTCATAGCTTTCACCTTGGAAACTTCCCCTATGTAAACCTCTGCAAAAGATCACATGTCAAGCACTGTGATCCCAGAGATCTCAGCACAATGTCTTCGACTCAAATCTCAAGGAAGGAATACTGTGCACGAAATCTAATGGCTACAAAGTGCTCAGCAAATCGATGTTCAGACGCTTCAAAACATTGTAATTTATTTTAAAGAAAGGAAGTCCTACTAGTTTTTTATAAGCTGGAGCAAGTCAGCCAAGAAAGCACGTAAAAAGATAAGTACAAGCAAGTATTTCATCCCTCATTTAAGGGTTGAACAGCTGCTTGCTCTGAACTGACTGAATAGGGGATGGGGAGAGAAGGAGAAAACGAACTTCCTTACGAGCAATGTCAGAGCTGCAAACACGCAAGGACAAACCGATCCTGCCAGGCAGACTGAGCTCATGCACTGCCCGAAGAAACGGCTACTCCCACAACATGCCACGTTACACAGCAGTCATTTATTTTCTAATATGTGCTTACTAAATCAAGCCATTTAACAAAGGGGCATTGCAACCAATTTTGTCACAACAGCTTAACAGTGGACATAATGGGAGCAGCAGGGAATCCAATGCAGTAGATGACCTTCAAATCTTAACGAAGTTTTATAATGTCTTCTAATATTTTCCATTTAAACAAACAAGACACTACCAAATCCTCCTGCTCCTTCCATCTCTTTAAGTTTTAAAGAAGAAAGGATCCCCATCTGCATTCTTTTCATGAAAGCCCTACCCCCATCTGCCAGTGCATGAAAACGCGGCAGCGTCGCTCAGCTCCGCCAGGCACACCACGCAAACCGAAAACAGCCATCGGCACAAGAGACGGAGAGGAACCAAAGCCGTTTTTTGGCTGGAGGCACACAAACCTTGGTCTGGAATCCAACTACACGGGCAGGTGCTTACAAACCCCTGTGCAATCCATGCTGAAGCCACTACTACAGCGTCAGGGCTAGATATTCAAATCAATACAGCTTTACAAAACTAAGTTTAAAAACGGAATCTCAGTCCTGCCCCCTCCAGTTAGCAGTGCTTGCCTTTACTATATTTCTTTAAAACTACATACGCTGTGAACTTACATTAGATCTCTTTAAGCCAAAATAATTACCATGTCTTACTGTGGCAGTTCCAAACAATTTCTAATGTTTGCAGTAATAATATTTACCCTGCACTGTAAGCACCCACAAAGACACTGTAAGGATGATGGAAGGTTCAGTTTCACAGCAGAATTAATTACTATTTAACTTATCATCAAAAAGATCACTGCAGGGCTTGTAAATGTTTTATATTAGAAATAAATAAATCCAAACCCCAACACAGCATGCTAGAATTTAGGTGAATTTGATTTGGCTGAGCCCACCTGCCTTGTATTTCTCTGTAGGATTTGACTTTAAATTAATGATCCTTTAAAGCGAGCATCTGGAGCGTATTTCACTAACAATGCATAGCGCATCACTTAGAATATATTAAAGCAATTTTATACAAATAGATGTTTACAGAGAAGAATTTGAGACTGTTCCCTCTCAAAGCTGTGTTACTCCAAAACCACAAACTGGTTAACAGGAATCAATCTTTCTTTAACGGTAACTCACATAACTGCAGATGAACAAATGAGTTTTATTAAGAACTTCCTAATGTGACTTATGTCCTAGCTTGTAAAAAAATGGAACTTCAGAATTCAGAAGTTTTGTGTTGTTTCTCTTCTTGTTCACCACAGGGATTAAACATGTGCAAGTAAACCAGAATAGAAGTTTGGCAAGTGCAGAGGAAACCGTCATCGGGTCTGTTCGAACTGCATTTAGGGAAGTTGATTGTAACTGCCAAAACCTCAGATTTGCCAATCTGGTATTTACTTCCCAGCTTTATGGGAAGAAAAAAAAAAATAGGAAAAATGCTCAATTCTTCTCTCCTTATATATAGCAACTTGACTTTCAGTGAACAATATGAAAAATACATACCAGAAGAAAATAACCTAAGTTATAAATCAGTGTTTATGTATTTGATTTTATATAAATATCATTTCTCAGGGTTTGAATATCAATTTAAAGTAAAAGCATATCAAAGTTTGATCAGTTCTTGGCTACCTAGTGCAAAAAAAAAAATCTGATTGTAAGGATTTTGATTTTTTTATGGACAGAAAAGCCTGACTACATAACATTTTGAACAACAGAATCGGAGACCAGTGCCTGATCTGCTACATAATGAAAAATCTGGGAAAATGAATCATCAATTCCAATCCTTAAAGCTACCCTATCCTTATGAAAAGCCTGCACCACAAGGCACCCAGGACAAGCACTGTAAAACCACGTTTTGCTGCGTGACTCCTGAGAAGCTGGGAAGTCCAGTCCCCACAAACCCTGCCGTTCTCTCCCCAGAGATGCTGAACGTTTGCAAGCTAGCACAGGGTCACCAAAGCCTGGCTTTTATAATGGTCTCAGGCTAGAAACTACACTCCCCAAAACATGAGACTGCTATTTCTGCAGTGCTGAGAATTCAAAATACAGGCAATCATCCTCCAACATCATTAAGCACAGAGTTCTGACTTCAAACAGAAAAGAATAAAAGGGCAAATCAAAGAAGAAACCCTAACCACAGCCCTCGATGGGAAAATCCCCTTCTCTTGATATTTCAAATGATTTAACCAAAGTAAGGAGATTGAGTAAATGAAAGTTGAGCTGACACTTTTGCTCAGAGGTGGTGCAGCTGCAGACCTTCCAGTGGTGCCCAGTGCAGGTTCTCCCAAAGCTAATTTGGAAATACTGTTCTTGGCTTCTCATTTTCTTCATGTGGCTTATTACCAATAGAAAATAGAGGATGTTTTGCAAGATCCTGGGCTATGATGAGCTAATATAACAACAGCTGAAAAATTATTTTAGATAACCTCGAACAATTACTCGCTCTCATTTCAAACTGCCCAAGCAATCTCACTTCTCCGTTCTAGGCAACTTTCCACAACGCAGGGATCAATTAGGAGGTAACAGCCAAGAGTTAAGAGGACATCTGCTGCCCCCTGCTGAAACTGATAAAAATCTAAAGTCCTTTAACTGTTTTCCATTAAAGAAAAAAAAGGGGGGGTGGAGGGAAAGAAAATACGGTGACAGCAGATGATTTTGTACTCCCAGACGAGGCTGCAGCCCGCCCCCAAGTCCCTCAGGCCGCCTCACCACAGCCCGGGGGGCCGCCGCCGCCCCCCGCCCGCCATCACGGCGTTAAATGGCGGCGGCGCCGCCCGCCCCCTCAGGCCGCGGGCAGCCGCGGTCTCCTCCCGCCCGCCGTTATCGCGCCCGTTATCGCGCCCGTTATCGCGCCCGTTACCGCCTCCCGCAGCCGCCTCCCGCAGCGGGGCGGCCGGTTCTCCTCACGCGAAGGGCCGCGGGTCCGGCCGGGGAAGGCTGGGGGGCGGCGGGGAACGCCCGCCTCCTCCTCCGCCTCCGCGGGGAGCAAATGGCGGCCGGGGCCCCTCGGCCTTCCCCGGCGGCGCGGCCCAGCGCTGGGTTTGCTGTCGGCGGGGGTCCGGCTGGTTCCATCTTCAAACATCGCAGCAGGGTTAAGTGTGGGATGGAAGTTCGTGGATTTTAGGGAAGAAGGGACGGGCGTTTTCAAATTGAAAGTCAAATTGCTGTCTTGCTTCAACTGCTAGAATTGATGGTGGTGAGGATTCACCCCCAAGCCTCCCAAATGATTGCGTTAATTACACTTTGTAATGTTACAAAAACATGCAGCCGTGGTGGAATATCCTGCTTGGACAACTTGGGAACCTACATGGTTTACATAAACCTACGTAGTTTACGAAAGGTTTATTGTGCAAAGTTTGAGTTCAGGTTAATTGATGGTAAATCAGATGTCCCAGTTTTATTACCCTGGGGTTTTTTAACTGAACGTATAGGCAAACCCTACACAAGATAGCCTCACCCCAGCAAAGCAAATACACCTTTGGACAAATCAAAGGTAGATTTCTCATTTCTTCAATTGCTCGCCTTTTGATGCAAATGGAGATTTAGAACCTGCAAGCAGACGGCTGCATTGCGCTGTATCTTGCACAGCTGATTACGGCTGTTTCGATCTCATGCTGGTATGTAAACTCCAAAGTAAGGCAGGAAATCATCCCTGGAAGAGTGTCTGCCTCACAAAATCTTGCTCTGAACCCAACTCATGTTTAACTTGGGTACAGTTAAAAACTGCAAAACCATGGAGTCTTCAGAAGCTAGCTGTCCTGTCCTGGAAGTAAATGTAATTAGCATGTAAAAAGCCAGACTTTGCTTAATCACTTCTTTCAAGTGATAATTTGATGTAATAAACCAACAGTTGAGACCATAAATATCGAATTACAGAGGGAGCAAACATACAGAGCAGAGAACTGTGAGTAATCTTTAAATCACAGCCCTACCCAGGGACACAGACCATCCATCCGCTCTGTCACGACTCGCACAGGAAAGAGGGTTTGCCCTTGATCCTGATAGCCATATTTCAAGGAACCGGCATGCTATTTTGCAGGGAATTATGATTCATTTGACTGTGTTAAGGATGTGTTTTGCATAGTTTCCCATCTCCCCATCTTTCAATTCATTCATACACATTATTTATAAAGAAACACAAACACCTTCTTCCAATACAAACACTTTTTTTCCCTGGTTTAATACATCATGACCTGCTCCTGAAAAAAAATCTAACCCATAACCATAACGTGTTATTAAATATGAAAAATGTACAACAGTGAGTATGTCATTGTCATCTTCTGTTGCCCCCCAATTAGTTCTGGCATAACCCTTTTAGCTTCAAGAGAAACCAGATTATAACTTGTCTGTCAAGGCTGAGGTTTATTTTACGCAACATGTGTAATATCTGAGCAACCAATGTCGTAATTATCAAAATGATTACCCTATCAGTCAGCAGCTCATTTGGCCAGAAGACCTTTACATCTTTTTGCTGATTATGTACTTTCTGAAGCAAAGACAAATGGTAATAACTAACACTAACGCATCTGGGTATAAGGGCAAATAACTACTGCAATACTCGGTATGCATTGGACCAGCTCAACGTAAGTCTACTAACTGTCAAAAAAATGGAGGCTCAATATGAATTGAATAGTATTAGACTACATTTTCTATCTTCTCTTTTTTTTATTCTACTATGTAGAATGCTGGCTAAATAAATAAATAAATCTTTTGATTGAGGCTCAGTTACTTCTCCCCTTCTTGTTCCTTTCCTGAAGGAAATCTTCATCATAGATCGGTGGGAAACAACAGACTAGAGCATCATGAAACTAACAGAAATGTTTCATTTCTGATCGCCGTATCTCAGTAGTGACCAGATCATAAGATCTCTATTTAGTCTCCACCATGCGGAGTGCAGTTAAATTTGTTCATACAAACATAACTCACCGAGTTTACAACTCTGGCAGTGTAATCAAAGCAGAGAACTTCATGCCAGAGTAGGCCGGAGGAGGGACTGACGGAGTCCGGAGCAGCAAGCTAGAGCAGAGCAGTTCTCCGCTGGTTTGATCCAGTCCATGCACCCGTGTAGACTCACGTAAGAAACCACTTGAGATTAATTTGTTGCCGGGAGATAAGGTGCACCAATAAACCAGGTAGCTTGTCATTTTGTGGCTTGATAAGTATGGAAAACCTTAAGACTTTCCCTTGTCGCTGGCTGTGTTTGTATTTCATTTCTTTTCCAAAACGGACGCGGATGCAGTCATAAAGGGATTTATCTCTGGGCGCACGCTCAAACAGGGCAGACAGCTAGCGGTTCCCTGGACCATGGGATTAGGGAACATAACCAGGCTGCTGCTGCTTTGGTACACACAATTTTATGATGCAAAGAGTTCTTAAATGGTCATGTAAGCGCAGTTCACTGTTCAAACATGTTCAAAGACTGCAACCTTTGTGCTTGTGACCAATTGGTACGTTACTCATAGTCGTTCCACCCACAGGCTTGGCACTAAACAGTACACCTTCATAAATACTGTTTGCATATTATCGAGTTGATAAAAGCCAGCATGTATTTGTACAGAGCTTTTACTTACTTTTCATAGCGCAAAGCTGCTTCTTCACCTTCCTCTTCCTTCCTCTTTGTGCTTCATCTCACGGAGGAAGGAAGATCTTGCTGACAAAAACTGGCTTCACAGAAGACAGTGAATCCCAGCTTTGAAGGCTTTCTAGCAAACGCCACGGCACAAATGGGCCTCCACAGCACTAAACACTCCAAAGCTAAGCAAGCTAATATACTGATGCTAGGACTCGATTCTGCAGGAAAATCTACGCTCTTGTATAAGTTCAAGTATAACGATGTTTTTCTAACGATTCCAACAATTGGCTTTAATGTTGATATGATTGAAATCGGGAAAGATTTTACAGTGACGTTTTGGGATGTTGGAGGACAACAGAAAATGAGACAGGTTTGGTGCAATTTCCTGGAAAACACAGACGGACTGCTGTACGTCGTGGACAGCTCAGATAAGCAACGTCTGGAAGAATCAAAGAAAGAATTTGAACTCATTTTAAAGAATGAATTTATTAAAAGCGTACCAGTCGTCGTGCTAGCAAACAAGCAGGATTTGCCTGGAGCTTTGAACGCTGAGGAAATAACGAGGAGATTCAACATGAAGAAGTATTGCAGTGACAGAAATTGGTATGTACAACCCTGTTGTGCCGTCACAGGAGAAGGTCTGTCAGAAGCTCTCCAAAGACTAACCACATTTGCAAAACACTTCAGCAGATCAAAGGAGACTTTTACAATCTTTAAGGAAATCGAAACACTCTAAGAATTTCTATCATCAAATTCTGGTGAATGTTAATCAACATTTTGTTGGACAGACTGAATCTGAAAATATTGGATTCTGGAGAACTCTTACAAATATTTATAAAGAGCTTCGACAATATTAAACTAAACTGTTATACCTGCAGATGCTTCTGAGATACTACTCCGCAGCATTTTATTAGTGGTAGTATACTCAGGGTTATTCAGCTCAGAAGTGTGGCTGTTAAATGATGAAAAAGGTGGAGTTAAGTTTCTTGAATTTTAGCAAGTGGAAACAAAATAGGTGAGCAGTGCTTAAAATGCTTAAATCAAGTCATTTTGTCAAGACATAAAATAGCCAAGTCGTTCATTCAGCAAGAAAAGCGAGAGATAAAATCCTATTTCGTAATAAATGCTCCGTGGATGTATTTCTCATGTAAAATTGTAGTCGTTTTAGACCTTAAACCTTTATGTAGCAGAGAACCAATGAATCTGAAATACTTGTTGGATATTATTGCATTCTAGAACCGATTATTCCAAATAGATTTTAACAAAGAGGATTTACTCCTCATCAAGTCACTGGCAAAGCCGAGATCCAGTGCTGTGTGTAAGCTGGAGGTCTGATGTCTCTCTGTTACAGACTCCTACGTACCAATTTCTTGGTTTCCGCACTGTTGGATCGCTGTCCTTAGCCACGAGCAGAGCAATGGAAGCCAGCACAGGATCAGTCCAGCGAAGTGCTGATCCCCATTGGTTTTGGGGTGGGGGATAAAAAGGGGAGGAATGGGGAGATTGGCTTCCTGGTCATTTTTTTTATATATCTTGACAGATCCTGGCCTGTCTGTACTGAAGGCGCCTGAAATTTTGTTACTGATAAATTTAGGTTTGATTAAATTTTACCTAAGTGGCACAAAATGGCTAATCCTGTTAGGGCAGTTTGTAGAAAAGAATTCCAAATGAATTTTCTGTTCAGATTTCCTGATTGATGAAGGAGTGAATTAGTACTCTGAATGCCATTAAAGCAATGAAGGATTGATAACTAGAAGACAAATTGAACTGTATCAACCATGAAAACAGTTTAAACACTCAGGCTGAAAAGTTAATAGGGCCTGCTCTCTTAAAAGCAAGAGAAAAGAGACCATCTAATTACGGGTTATACAGTCCCAGAAAATCCAGCCCAATTATTTCTGCCTTCTTGAGCAATGTCTGCAGAGGTAGGATGCCTCAGTGGTTAGAATGCTTGCTTAGATAGCTGGATTTTTTTTTCCCTATGTCTTCCACAATCTTTGACCACAGGCAAGCAATTTAATCACTCTGTGCCTCAACGTTCCCTTGGTAAAATGAACTTCCCAGTTATGTGCCCTGAAAAAGCTGTGGCAAGGGTCAGCCTGCTAGCCTTTCTCCTGCGACAAAAAGATTATGCCAAGTAATTCACGTATGAAATTTACATTTATTTCTTACTAATAAACAGGCAGGAATTTCAAGTTGTAGAAGGGTGAAGCAGCAAGACAAGCACCCAAAGGTACCCTGTTGTCTCATGCATATATTATTCAAAGACAAAAAAATCATCAGGTGAATTTGCTGAATTAGTAAACAAAGGAAGGTTTCTCAACAGAAGCTGTTATTAATACTGACTGTAATTACCATGGGCTAAATCCTGAGTCATGTTGAGACTACATTTCTAAAAGGAGAGCAAGTATTTAGACTTGTCATTGCCTGGTCTGGTGATTTAGGCTCAATATAAAATATCATATTCTGTCTCAAAAAAGTTTGTGAAGGTCTGCAACAAGGGGAGCATTAGTTTTCTAAATTCAACAATTCAGTGTTAAGAATGTAATGTTTCAGATCAATACATTTATAAACATCTGCATGCGTATGTTACACATTGAATTCCCCCACTAGTTTAATGTGTCTAATATAAATCTGAATCTAGTTCACTGCCCTCAGGACTTCCTCAGGGAGAAGTACTCCGTGAGAGATTTAATGAGAGTGCACAAGGGTCTCTAATTAGACAAGAAACAAGTTCTGAAGGGAGAAATAAAGTAGTATAATAGACCAGCTCATACAGCTAAAAAAGAGAATAAGCTTTCAGGCACAGTCCCTTCTCCAGATTATCAAATTAGATTACACGATCCTCACATTCACTTGAAGAAAATCTTTTTACATTATGCTTCAAAGGAAATAAACTCTCTTCCATTCACTTCACAGAATATCAAGTATTTTAAAATTGATTTTTCTAAGAGCTTGGTTTCCTAAAGAAGTAAAGCCATGCCCATGTTATCTGCCCATGGAGACCCCTACCTTTTTGAATTATTTTTAAGCTTTAGAAAAAATACCAGTCAAGTTGGATGGAGGCGCAGGTTCTCAAAGAAATTACATGCCTGAAAGTTTAATTAAAAAAAAATCAGTGAGATAGAGAAGAGTGACCATACTGGTGCCCCCAGTGACGTCCAGGCTGATAAGGCACAAAAGACTAATCCCCCCGGTGATAAATGTTCCATTTTAGCTGCAAGAGAGCCTACAAGAGAACATAAATCCACAGAGCCCAGACGTAATTAGTTCCTCTGCTCCTGGAGCTAGCTGGTCTTTTTCTATACTGCATGAGTAAATAGTGTACTCGGGGTCATCTTCAGGATGAGACAGAGGATATGGAATCCGCTGCTTAAAATGTCCTTTCTACACCTGTAAAGAATCTCCCTGACTGCTCCACATGTTTTGGGAAGGATCCCTGAGAAAAGCGTGGTACGTGGGCAGAAAGGTGCCGAGGAAGCGGAACTTCTGGCTCAGTTCAGCGAGAGCTGGTTCCCCAGCCCACGAGCAGAGTGGGGTTCCTTCTGAAGGACACGCAGCCGTCACAGGCCCCAGGGAGCAGGGACCCTGAGTCCCTCACCGCAGCGTCTGGGGCTGCTGCCCTCACCCACCGGCTCACCCCAGCTCACTCTCTGGTCCCTCTTGGAAGCCTGACAGTTGTTTGATAGCCGATCCCATCACGTGTTATGTGGTAAAATCAATAGCAAGGAAGTTACAAAGGTGTTTTACAGCTTCATCCAGATATGGAGAGTTTGAGATCTTTTGACTGCTCAGCTGAACAACATAATAAGCAGAACTGTCTTTACGTTTCAGAGCACAGCAAAATGGGATTTTACTTGTCCTAAAAATACAGTCCACAGTATCGTAAGCATAATTTATTCCTGGACAAGTTTTGTTTTATTTTATATTTAGAATTTATATAGGTTACTCACTAAAAACTATTTCAAGATTTTTGAAGGGCTCGGGGTGCTTTGAGGAGATAAAAAAATCAGAATATGAAGAGTGCTGCCCCTCTTGGCAATAGAACCAAAGTCTATGAGTTGAAAAGTTTGCATGGATGAAAGGCCTTAGACAGTTTGGGCCCCTCCTCAGCTGTTTATATTGCTTCGGGTTTTGGAACTTTTTTCATTAGCTTTCTGAATAAATCACACCCTGCTCACCCTGGTGTTTCTTGTATTTTTTGATGCATACTGGCAGTCTTGTGCAACTGCAATGAAGTGGTAGAAGGATTACAACTGTATTGTGGCTAAAATGTACAAGTCCTTCAGTGTCTGCTAATATTTCTTACACAAAGTTTGCTGCACCTGTTCGTTTCTGCTGACAGAACAGTCATGCATGAAGAAATAAATGGTACATATCTGCAATTGTGAAACACGAAGGGTAGAAACTGGGAAACCTGAGGCATGCTGTATCCTGTGCCCTCTCAAGGAGATTATCCACTGGGACGTGTTTGGATGTGACAACTTAAAAGCTGACAAATCCAGAGTATGGAGAGCTGTCCTTTCAATCATACATTGATAAGATCACTGTGGTATAAGACCATGAAGAGCTCTCTGAATTTTGAAATACCTGTCATGGAGCTCACTGAACATAGTTCCAGTGGGATGAAGTGCTACATTAAGGGAAGGTGTGGAGCAACATAAGAAACCACTGCAAATTTGGATAGTAACACTCTCTCTTTTTCCTGGGAGAAAACTCTCCCAATAATTGAATACTTTGCAGAATCAAAGGGAAGTGTAGTGTGTAAGGAATGTGGGACAAGGCTTTTTCAAAATCAGGTAATGTAGAGCTGGGCGAGTTACTCAAAATGTCTCTGCTGCCACCTCCTCCTCGTTTCTGACAAGTTAACTGAAACAACCAAAGAAAAGACTTCCCTGTATCAAAGAAGTTCGAAGCCTACTGCAAAGGAAAGCAATACTTTGAAGCACTGTATGCATATTAAACTGCTTAAAGCAGGCTTTCTTCCCAAAGTAAATGACCCATGCTGAGTTCTGTGCTGCTACAATTAGACTTCTTCCACTTATAATTAGCTCAAATATTCCTATTCAACACAGGCATAAGGAATCTGGACATATATCTCATCAGGTCACACAGGCTAGATTACACAGGTCTCTAATTTAGGATGTAAACTCTTGAGGGTGGGGGCCCTACTTACAAAGCACACACCATACTGCAGCTACAATTTGCAAATATAAATTCATAAAACAGTAGCAAGTCAAACACAGCTTATTTTGAACGCATGTAATTTTAACAACTTGTGCATTAGCTTCTGTTTAAGTTTCTACAATATTCTGTTCTTTAGCCATGATAAATATTCTTGTACCACTCTCGTCCACGACGTTTTTGCAGTGTAACTACCACATCTAGCGCAAAGTTGAGCTGCCACCAAGGGACACCTCCCCTCACCCTCTGTCATCTCTGCGTCCTCCCTCCCCAGCTACATATTTACACTGGCAGGTCTCTGCACAGTAGTTTTCTCACTTTCCTTGTCCTTCACCAGTTGTCAAAATGGTGACGCAAGTTGTTGTGGTCTTTTTATTAGATTTTCATTGAGTGTTTTTGTGCTTGCTCTCATGCTGCTCCTTATACTTGGAATTACCTAAACACATTTACGAAACCATTTCATTGTTTTCTTTCAGATCCTTCCTTCAAGCACTCCCTTCTCATGATGTATGCAAAAATCCTGACAATAGCTGTTAAGGTTTTATGATGAGG